GTATATTACGTTTTATATATAAGATATCCGACAAAATTATCTCAATAAAGTTAGGTATAACTTGGCAACGCCAAATGTTTACGTCTAATTACTATTTCAATATTATTTACCAGTGCAGTGCATGCATATGTACATGTAACCAAATACTTGATGTAATTAAAGAGGTACTGTGTATCGCTAACATAAAAGTGAGGTTTTATGCGTAGAATAATATTAATAATACAGGTTACATGTTACGTTTACGGTTAACGGAATTGTCAAGGTAAATCCTGATATAAAATCTGAATTAATGAAATATTTGGGCCCTTATTTTTCATTAACTGCGCATTATTATTGCGTTTAACGTAAATTTTAAGTGGCCTAAAATCTCCCTATTTGACAGCAGATTTGATGCATTACACTTGTCCAATTTCTTGATGAAGCGACTTCATTAATTAATTCATCAACAAATTGTCAATGTAAAACAGCTATTATCAGAGACAATAGAAAAGACGCGTCAAAAGCCTCTTCAAAAAAATGGATATAAGAGCAACAGCGCCCCCCTTGCGGGTAAGACAAAACTGTAGCCATAAAACACTTTCTGTAGAGTTGGCGGGAACTTTAAAATAGTTTGCTTAGCGGGAATTTTAAATACTGATGATATTAGGGTGTCCAACGAGAGTGAATTAGATGCATTTAGGAAACTAGAATTGACAGAAATTTAAATTTTATTTTCTAGGGGTTTTCGACACTCCCGAGCTGAAACAAAATATAATGTGGCACTTACGATTATACCAGAAGTAGACGTCAACTATCTTATTTAAAAATATATATATATATATATATTATGTCACTTTCAGATTCTACATTTAATTTTTAGTTAAACCTAATTAAACATACAACATATCAAAACTCAGCAATTTTTTAATTACTTCAGTTTTTGTAACTCGTTCGATCGCGATGAATAAAAAAATGAAATAACTCAAATCAAAAACTGTTTTGACAGATACATTTAACAAAGTTGACAAACTTGGAATCTGAAAACGAATGAAAATATATCTTGTTCTATATTTAAAATCAGCAAATTAATATCTACTTCTGATATAACCAGACGTGTCATGTCATCGGATATTGTTTCGGTGTCGAAAACCCCTAGAAAATTAAATCCAATTTTCTATCATTTCAGGTTTTCTAAATACGTCTAATGCACACTTATTATGGGACACCCTATATATTACATACATAATATGACTTTAGAATGCAATGCAGTTTCTTACATTAAATTACATACATTGACTTCATAATCTCACAAAATAGATACACTTATTTGTGTTACTAAATATCAAAGAAAACAGGAAAATGAATACAACAGTTTTACAAATGTAAAATTTTTTGTATTTTTGTTTTAATTTATTTTTTACAAATAATCTTTGCTTGTCCTCTGTGAATTTGAAAATGAGACAATTACAAATAATATCTAAAAATGTTTTTGCTATATTATCTTTATGCATTTTACAATCTATAAAAGATATGTCTACATATTTCAATAATAGTTGAATAAATTTTGTTTTAATATTACAAATGTTGGGACATTCATCTAAACTTTTTTAATCAAGTTGTAAGGGTGGGTAACACATTTAATCATATCCTCATTACAATATTTCAGTCTTAAATTAGTTTGATCATTTTCTTTTAAATATACAAAACTGTGGAAATTTTCAATCGTTTTGCTTTTGAAATTATTTGTGCAATTTTCACAATTAAGTTTCAATTTTTTTAACAAAAATCCACACACGTATGCAGTACTTTCCGATTCAAATGAATTTTCAGCAACAACATCTTCAATGTTTATTAATTCATTTGAATCGGAAAGTATTTTGTTAGGTGTGTGTAGTAGCAGTTCTTTCAAATTTATAAGCACAATTTTTACTGAAAGATTTATTTGATGATAAATTATTAATTAACGCAGTTTTGACGTTATTCAGAAACTGATATGGGTTGGGATTGGTGTTTCCTGAGCCATTTTGCCGTATTGTACTGCAAAACAGATTAAAATATTTAGTGTCGCATACTAATAATTGATGTAATAATAAATGTTCGCCTACCTAAAAAAGTTTTCCAAAGGATCTTGTTACACGTATCGAGTTTTTAATATGGAACCTGTCAAGTAGCAACTATGTAATTAATTCTTTGATAGAATTAATTGAAAATATTAGTCCATTCACACAATGAGGAGATTTGTATTGTATTCCATTTTTAAAAAATTTCCACTCTTTTATATTAGGAATATGCTTATTCCAAAATTCCAAATGTTCGGTGTTTGGACCCAATGCACATTTTAGTGGTTTTCCTAAAGAAAATGATGTTTTTCATTTAAACAGATATTTTTAGAACATATGAGCTTACCTGCAATGGGTCTAACAGTCCGACTATTCAATGAATTAAACATACTGTCCATGCACAAATTCTGCAGTGGATACTGCTTCAGCCGGCAGATTTTCAGCTGCAACAGTTGAACTGAAAATTTGTCTCTTATCTTCCTCATGGCTGACAAATATTAAACAATATGTTTTATACTAGTTAAATACAATAAAAAAGTGAAAAGGACTTTAATGTATTTATATGCCCTTACCTTGAAAACGCCGCGATGTCTATTTTATATGCCGCTTCAATATGCATCCATCTTGCAACTTTATTTGGTTCGTACTGGATATTTTATATTTATATAATGCATTACGAATATTTTTTATAACGTGAGGAATATCGTATATTATAAATATTTGTTTTCCTTGAACTAAAATGTAATTTTCACCATCTACAGTTTCTTGGATCAACTGATTTACCGCAGCGGTATTAGTAGATCCTAAAGAAAGAAGAAAAAAATAAGCTTACATTTCGTATTTATTTTACCATATTACTATTACTTGCTCGTGATAATGTCTTTACTATGTTACGAGAGTTGAATAATTTCCTTTTTAATTTAGTGCCTACAAGATATTGAAAATAACATGCACTGAATAATGAATTGTTATAAATATTACTATTTTTAATTCGCTCATTTTCAACAATTTTAACCTCAGACTAATAAATAAAGGGGACGCCTTTATTTACATTTGATAGTGAAGTGTTGACATATGTGTATTTACAAACATTGGTACTTTGTGATGTCCTTGACATTGATGCCAATGTTACATTTTTATCTTTATAGCTAGGTACAGCGGTCATTTTAATTGATTATCGTACAAGGATCTACCTCATTCTTGACCTCGACTTACAAATTAGTTACATTGTAATATGCATAAGACTACGACACTATTTTCTTGCAACTTGTTTTATAATTATAGATTTTGAATATCTGAAAAAAAATACATTATTGAAATTCCTAGCAATACAAACGCCGTAAGTGGCATCATTGCCTGGTAGTAAACGGTTCTAAAGGGGACGCCATTATTACAGTCTATTGTTGTGAAATAGATATTAGCCGAGTTCAGTGTTTTGTGTCTTTTTAAACTGTTTTTTTATCTAATTTCAATAAAAATGCCAAAGCGGCGTATAATATGCCGACAATTACAGGAAAAGAGCCAAATATGTGCTACTTCTTTTCACAAGTAAGTTTGACATTGTTTCCATGGGCGTTCTTACAAGGGTGTAAGGTGTCCTAAGTATTTTATTTGTTAATTTATTATGTTTGTATTTTGATACTGACACTAGCTCTGTGTTTATTTGTAGAATACCATAAGATCCTGCGATACGAGCAGTGTGGCTAGAAAATTTCGCCATATCTGAATATGATTTTTCAAAGGATAATTATGTCTGTCGAAGCATTTCCGTGCTACAGATATTAAGGTAACAGTAACTGGAAAACGATGTCTCACACATGGAACTGTGCCTATTAATACAACATTTGGAAGGTAATACGTTTTAGCACAGTGTTGATGAAATGGTTGTGCCGTCTCAAAGGTTCCCTCTTCGAGAAATTGCCAGTGAAGGAAATTTTATAGATGTTGCTATAAAACATCTTCAATCACATGTTGTCCCTG